TATATATATATATGATATAAAATTATTTTTTGAAAATTTTGCAAAATAAATAAAAAAGGAAGGTCAAGATCAAAGATTGCCGGCGTTTTATTAAGCAATTTCAGAATATTTTACCTTTTTTTTATTAATTGAATTTCTCGTAATCTTCTTTTTCTTTTTTGTTTTAGAATACTAGAATGCTTCCACTACCGCGAGCAGCGAAGGAACGAATTAATTTTTCCTTACTTCAATCAAGCTCGACCAGTCAAACTTCTTTAAATAATATTCCGAAGATACAGAATATCGTTGATTGGGATATAGTCCGTCGAAAGTATCGTATGCGATTCGGAGACGAAATCGAGAAACCGTCCAGTGGGGAGGTGACGCTTGCTAAAATGGCTTGAACAATAAAATTGATACGCGCAACATATGTTCTATTATTACATGCAAATTTCCATACGCGTAATTTTTTTATTATTTTGTATCGGCCTATTTTATATCATAAAATATTTCAAATAGAAAGATATATGTAAGTACTTTCTACGTTTGTACGTTTTCTTGCGATATCGCTAATTGTAACGAAATATATATATATACAAGTGTCATAAGTATAGATAAGTATAGATCGAGAAATGGCTCTATTTCCACTACTTATTTTATCTTGCCCTTTCCAAACGGTGGTTGTGCATTGGTTTGCAGATAAAAAATACCTTGAACGTCAGGATTGATAAATTCACCCATAACGGCGGTGCTAAAATTGTTATCGCCGCATTTACCAAGTTGAAAATCCATCCAATTGGAGCATTTCACGGCGACAAAGCCATCAGGATGCACGATCGACTCGGTGAAAAACTGATGCGATCTACCGTGGCTGCAGGTCTCTAAAAAAATACAAGCTAGATCAATATTCTGATGCGCGTAATATTGTAAAATTTAATGCTAGCATATCGTACGGGATGAAAATACAGGGCATCCAGGTTGCCTAAATGTTCCTCCGTTCGGATAAAAATCCGCGTGGCCAATAGGTCTGAGAAAACCTAAACTACCGGCGCAAGTGTGAATAACATCCACGAAATTGGCGTCTGTGGCATCCAATCGCTCCTCTGTATCTTTAAGATAAGGCGTCTCGAATGCCGGCCCAGCTGGATCAAGTCCGGTAATTCGACCGAGCTTCTTCGACATATAATTACCGATGTGTCCGGCTACATGGGCACCCAAACTATGTCCCACAACGTGAACATCATCGAAGGATACTTGAGTTTCTGATCCGAGAAATTCGATAAATGCAGCCACGTATTCTCCCACCTGAAAACAATTTCGATTGTGCATTATATTCTTGTAAAAAAAATATCTTGCAAAAAATTAATGAGCACTTAAAAAAATTAAATCGGACGAAAATTCTCGTAACTTCGCAAAACCAATTTTATTTTCATATTCATTGGTTTGCATACAATTTATATATTGTATAACAACAAATCTTTTCTTTTCCAGTACAATTTGCGTTATATTTTAAAACAAACATATTTAAAATTATATTCTATATTGATATAAATTTTGCAATCATGCACTTTTTTTTCACAAGAAAATTAGAATTTGAATCAGTTTACTGATTCAACTATCTTCAGAATATTTTACTCACCTGATGAGTAAGTTTGACAGATGTTAGATATTCTTTTGTTGAACCGGTGAACCAATCTACACAAATTATATTGTAATCCCCAACGTTAAGATAATTTCGCCGAATGTCGTGTAGCCAAAAAGCATTTCCGCTCTCTGTCCACCCGTGAATAATAATCTTGATAGGCCACTCAGGATTAAATGGTGAATCCTTCAATTGAGCAGCATCACCCATTCGTAGAAAAACAGGTTGCTCTTTATTGTCCTTGGTATAAAGTTCATAATTTATATCTTCTGCTTTAAAATCTATATCAATAATACCGTCGATCGTCGCACGATCATTTGCAATAATCGATGTCGGATTTAAAAAGACCTCCAAGAGACCTTCTTCGGGATGGTAATCTTGAAAATTTTGAATCAACGGTCGATTACGCAATAACTCTGCTATATTAAAAGATACATCTAAAAATGAACAAAAAGTAATAAGAATAAATGATACATTTATCTCTCTCTCTCTCTCTATTAGTATAACTAAATTATATTTTTGACAAAGTCGAAATTATTTATATAAGAACCACCTTACTTAGGAACAGAAATACGAGGAACGTTGAAATAAGAGACATTGTGATATTTTTCAATACTTTTATTAGACAGTGTTTCTTTTATACCTTCATATTACATAAGTAAATATATTCTTGGATTATTCAATCCATTAGATCTTATTACTAACATCGAACAATAAAATACCTAAGTTGCTCCACGAACATCCGGTATTTGTTTATCCTAATTTAAACTGAATACTATTATTGAAATTTCGTTGTATATACCTTTCCTATATTTGGCAATGCTTAAACATAGATAACATGAGTTTTGTAAATATTCATAAATCTATTACCTTTAGGACAAAAATCAAGAATAAAAAATATTGATTTTGATATTGTCAGATCTTATTACTAATTTAGTTGACATATACTATAATTCTTTTTGGTCGAGTTATGATATTGTTCCAATATACATTGATAGTATTGAAACTCTATAATAATTTACGTTATGTATACTATAGATATTCAGTACTAGCAGTGTATATATCGAAATACTATAGTGGCGTGCATCACAGAACTTCTTAAAGTCAAACTAACTTTGCACAATATTGTAGTACATTAACGATTATACATCAACAATTATAAGAATTGCAATACCAAGATGTATTGAAGAATTCTGGATATTGTAATTTTAAAAATAACAGTAATGTAATTTTATCTGCTTTTTTGAAGAAATATAGTTTCTTTGCCATATCTGATAGATGTAACGACATTTAATCCTAATATAGCCGCTTCCTCACGTATAATTTCATATTCTTCTTTTGTAAAACCCTCTGAGAGATTTTGTCTTACTGCATCATTATTATTGATAAGTTTTTCACACAAATCGCGGGCGGCTCTTCGAAATTCATTAACTTTAATTTGTTCTTCCTTGGATTTGAAGCAATTTTTCCACAAACGTTTCTCTATTTCCAGATATTCACGCTGTTTCAAATTTGTCTAAAAAAAAAATGAAATAAAAAGAATATACTGTTATAACAAAATTATTTTGTAAAAAATTTTCAACTTACTGTCCGAATTGCTTTTTTAATAGAGTCATCGTGCGGTTCTAACACCCAAGCTTTCTGGAACTCATTCATTGCTTCATTATATTCTCCAATATTCAGCAAAGCTTTTCCATACCTAAGAATATAAGAAAAAAAATGTATTATAATACTGATAATATATTTATACCTAAATCAGTAAAAAAAGTACACACTGATAATGGCTTTTAGCTGTTGGTTTTGGAACTTTCCTTAAAGCTAAGCAAGCTTTAGTAGGCATGTTTTCCTTGTTATGACAAACTCCAAGATTGGTATAAGCTCGTGAAAGTAATTCAATCATTTCTTTTTCTTCCAAATCATCATTTAACTTGATTGATTCCAAACAATCAGTAATTTTTCTATATCTACAAAAAATACATATTTAAGAAATATGATTGCATATTTATAAAAATTTTATAATATCAGTTACTTACTCTCGTATCGCCTGTTTGTAATTAAATTTTGTACAATAGTCTTTGGCACTCACAAACATATGTTTCACAGGCTGTACCACATATTTAAATAATTGTTTCTCCTCATCTGTAAGATTTTGATATGTTTGTGCACAACCATCGTCAATATAATCAACTAAGTGAACAACAAAGACCACTTCCTCATTAGGTGGAATACGTGGTGGACAACCAACAGCCTTGTAAGCATAATCAGGATGTATCAAAAATACTGCTATTTCATGCTTTTGCATAGTACGTATACCAATTTCTAAACCAGGTATAATAAAACTTTGGCCTAAACGCAACGATCTTGGTCTCCCAACAGAGTAAGTAGAATCAAAAGGCTCATCTCTGTATTCAAAATATCCAATATAATGGACAATTGCTTGAGCATTATTTGGTATAATTTCTCCAACACCTTTCTGTTTAATATACTTCATTACCTAATAAGAATTTTATATCAAGATGGTTAAAATTACATTCATGATTTCATTTAACTGTACTGACAAACTTATGATAAAATCAAAGATAATATTATCTCTGTAGGAAAATATACAAAATAGTATAAAATCTGATTAACTTTTCCATTTGGAATTAAATTCATCATCTTTATTTTCAGTTTTGAAAAGCTTATACCACAGAGTGATACAGTTTCTTTCTCATCTTCCTCTTCATCTTCAAAATCATTCATGTTTAACATATTTAACATCTCTTCATTGCTAAATTGTACATGTGAAGAATATGAAAATTCTTCATCCTCCTCATTGTTAGTAACGTCATTATCTCCAATTTCAAAAATCATTCCATCTTTGTTCATCAAATCCCTGGAATAATACAACAAATATGTAAGAATATAGCCTGACATAGCCTGGCATGTGTTTATTAATATAGTTCTTATATACTCAATCTTAAAACCATCCTTCAAGGAATTCATGCTTTTCGCCATTTTTCAAGTTAAAAGAAAGAATTCCGTCGAAAAATTCCTTATCAATCAATTCAATCAATTCGCCTTCCTTCCTCTGATGTGAGCTAAGGATTTTCTCTTATAATACTTATATTTCTCTGTAAGAGTACGTTTCTTCTTTCTTTTCGAATATATATAATACAGATATACTATAGAATACCACAACTTGCACAGTTTAATGGCTCAGAGATCCGATTCAAGACGAACACCCGACAAAAACGCGGGAGTTCATTTAAGAAATATTACTTTGTCCTTGTTCACACTGAATATTAAACAAACAAAAAATGTCGACTTGTGGGGAGTGAAATTTCTGAAGGAAGCCGGCCAATGGCCATTACATAGCATCAGAAATACTAGAACGTTCGAAATCGCGTTGTCTTCGTTGTCCTTTGCTGCTGATAGTACAGAAGTCTGTTCTTTTCGACTGAACTTCGTGCACCCTTCATATTGCTCCTCCTTTTCTCTCCAAGGCCAAGGATACGTTAGCGGATTTTCAATCAACGCCATCATTCGTGTAACTTCGTTTACTGAACAAGAATAAAATGATATAGAAGGAGCAGTCGGATGGAAATCCGAACATAACTGGATGTACAGAGAAAGAGAGAAAAGATAAAGCCGGAAGTTCAGCTGAAAATGACAAATTACTGAAGAGAGCGCTGAGGTTCATCATACGCAGGCGCATTGCGCACTGAACGGGCAGAACCGACAGAACATTCATAAATCATATAATACCGCCTATCATTGCGTATTCTACGTCGCCCACGCGCTAGAATATTAATTGCACTTTTTTAGGTGGTTTCTAATGCTTTCCAGCTATTTAAAGTGGCCACGACGCATAGAAAAATTTAAAGCAGTAAAACGTAAGAATAGATTCGCTACTTGCTTTTACTGTAATTGACCAATTTGTTTACTGCTTACTGTCTTACATTCTTGTGTGTGCCATGAGCTTGGGACTGGCTCATTCATTGCCAGTATTGATAATGTATAGTATATGTTACATAGACTATATATTTCCAGCATTGATAGTGATTGGTAGTAGAGACCGGAATCAGACTACACTTTGAAGATTGAGACTAAAATTTGACCAATGAAAACAAAGAAAGACTCCTTTTATTCTAATTGGTCGAACTTTAATTTTTCAATCTTATTCTTCTATGTATAGTCTTTGATTCCGGCCTTATACTACTATTCACACAGTGGCGTACTACTATTGACACGTAACGTAAACTACAGATTTTTTATATAGACAAAATATTCATTAGTTGAACGTGCAAAAATGTCCATAATAATCATAATTAAACGATTAACAATAGAAACAAATTCCTAAAAATTGCAAATGCAAGTAAATAAAAGGAGATAATAATTATTTAATTAACTATCATCTTCTTTTATTTACAATCTTTTTTATTAATTTTTAAATTCGTGATTATAACATCATTATATTTATCGATAATTATAATGTTATAATCTTATAATTTTTTATATTTTTATTAACGATTATATGTAAATATGTTTTTCTTTTAAAATAACAATCCACTCGAAAAAATATACAATAGATAAATACTTAAGATGAGAGAATAACTGCAGCAGATTGTTTATTTAAATAGTTTGCTTCTTTTAATTGCCTGTGATGTCCTCATTGAGTTTTTGATCAATTTATCAAAGAATTATCGATTAGCAAGCAATACGGATATGTAACCAGCTGATGTCTTTATTAACTAAAAAAGAAAATTAATGTACCATGTTAGACATGACTTAAATTATTGAAAAATAGAACAAATTAGATATTAAGTTTTTAATGTAGATACAACTCTAAATAAGTTTGATTTAATTATTAAATTTTGATAAACAACGTATTTATTTAGAGATAAGACGATAGTACGAGAGAATGCGCAATTAAATAATTATATAATAAACCGACATAAATATATAACCGGTTTTATGAAAATGGATTTAGATTTAATTTCTATTAATTTCTTAATTGATTTAATCATTAATATTTGCAGTAAAACTTCTGACTATAATTTGTAGTATTGACTTATAATTTGTCTCTAATCTCTTTTCTCACGTATCAAACAAGAGAAAATTTAATACGAGAGATAATTTAATTTTATATTAATAAAACACTGTCGAGATTAGATTCGATAAGTTAATTATCAATTACGTTGAGATTTATATGGGCACGTATAAGAATTTATAAACATCTTACACTGCAAAACATAGACAATGTCATGGGAAATATCTTGCCCGCGGTAATATACAGAGGTCTTTCGGCGCGAATCATTATAAGCATCAAGTTTTTGGCTTCATTCGGCGTCCTCAAGTACCACGTGTAGTTATACGCTGCATAAAATATTCCTTCACCCTGTAAATATTGTTATGTCATAAATTCTATATTAATCCCATTATTTATTTATATAACATAAATGACGAATTCAAAAACGACTTTTACGACAGCACGACTAATTCATTTAAATTCGACAAGTATTTACCTTCTTAAATTCTTTATTAATGTAATCTGTTTAAAATAAACAAAAAAATTTCTTCCCAATCAATATAAAGAATTTTATATAAGTATATCTTTTAATTTCTTATAGTCTTAACTCTCTCTATTAGAATATTACTTAAAAGTTATTTTGATTTCATTGCGAATTCATATAGACAAGAAAAAGATTACCTCTTTTAAATCTAAAAAAGAATTCACAATTGGCAATTTAAAAATCAAATTTTTTGAAACCCTTAGGAATACATTAAGAAAATGGGACGGAACAAGAATTTATTTCGTAAATCGAGAATAAGAAAAGATTTTTTTTACCCTCTGTGCTATCTAGGACGACAGGTCTAGAAATTGTTTCAATTTAATAAAAGAAGCGCTGCAACACTTTGTAATTTTGTTTATTGTACTGACTATTTTTACTAACAATAAGCACTTACTTTGGCTATAAGAATCTCTCCGACCACGCAGTACAGACACATGTGAGCGAATGTATTGATAAGAATCGAAACGAGCCAACATATTCGCATAATGGAAACACCTTCACCACTTCCGTCAATGATCTAGACACGTTAATATATTTTCTATCGACGTTTTTATTTGAGAAATTCATGTTTTAATATCTTAGTTTCTTCTTCTTTGGGATGCATGATTATGTATAATTTGCATGGGAAATTGGTGAGAAGAGTATATCGCAATTAAAGATCTTTTCATTACTATTCCTGCGCTTCCATTATACAAAAAAAAAATTAAATAAAGAACTCTCGATATGTTTAAAAATTACAAGAAAATCCTATAGGAAAAATAAGAATCAAGCGTAATTAGTAAAGTGCAAATTAAATTAAATCAGTTAAACTGCGTTTGACTCTTAATTGTTCTGTGTACGATTTTCTTTTATAATTTTCGAGAAATATAAGAACTCCAAAAAGGGCTAACTCTTTTATCTCATTCGCCAACTTACATTAACTATCAGAAATCCTTGTAGGCAAAATAACATAGCGAAAAACACTAATAGTGTCAGAAGCATCAAGTTGAATGTGTTGTCGATAATATCAACAGACCTACGATATAAGATATCGTATACGGTAATATCAGATTCCGATCAAATGAAGAGTCTCGGAAAATATATACCTTTACTTTTCCAGGGAGAAATAAAAATCGATTCGATCGATGTCAATTAGACGTAATCGACATCAATCCTATTTTTGTTTTTCTCTGGGTTACAAATGATGTATTCGTTCGATATACATATATAAGAAGCTAATGCCACGTAAAAGTATTGTGTGGGCTTATCACAAATTTATACAGTAATTATTATCGTATTATAAATATTATCATATTACAAGTAGTATATGTAATAATAATCGAAATGTAAATCAGTAATGCGCAACCTTTTTTAAGGGTCATCTTTCAGAAATAAATAAAATCCGTATAATATTTATTTCGTTTGCACAAAATAAAAAACATTATTTTATATTTCTGACTATGAGTCCACGGGAAGTAGATTGTGCATGACTGTTTTAGATGTGTTTGAGCTTTCTTCACACGCACAATATATGTTTCAGCAATGTTTAAACTTCAATCAAATTGTCATACTTTCTTAGTTCTTTTTATATTATTTGACAAAAATGACACAGCAGTGTAAAACATGTAAAATTATTATAAATCGAGCTTAATACCTAATGAGACGAAGATGATCCTTGAGATTGAAGGATAATCCGATATCGAAGTCTTTGAAGTTGTTCAAACTGAGAAATCGCTCTTTGAGAATTTCCATTTGGGCACATATGTGAAACACAAGTAAGCACAAAAAAGTATCGACGCCTGTGTAAGAAATCGCGGCCATTATGATCGATATAGCTTGGGCGGAGATCACAATTTCGTATAATGGGGTCTCCGTTATGTCTCGGAAGTAATAAGTTTGCACCAGCATAGGTCTTCCCGGGTCTGTCAGATTCGTCAAATATCTTGTAGTATATCCAAAGCAAGGAGGAATGATGAGAATAATGCACGCCAAAGTCATCATAGTACATCCAAACATGACCATTATTCTGGCAATTCTCGCTTGCTTAACCATAGTGTCTCGTTCTTGCACTGTTTTTGTTCTGAGCCAATCTTCTACGATCATATTTATGACCGGTTCAAGCTCTTTGGAAAATGTAGAAGTATATAATTGATCGAATTGACGCTTCGAGAAATAGATAGAATATTATGGAATAAAACGGTAATATCGGTGTAAAAAGAAAGATTTACCTTTTTTATGAAACCACAAAATGATAAATTTCAAGACGGTTGCTGAGAACGGCAGACCGATTTGCATATTGTCTGCCATCGCTATCATATCACCCCAGACTCTCAACAACGCTAGTATTCCGGGTATGACCGATGTACAAAGCATCGTAGTAAAAATAATAATAGCGCGTAGATCAGCCAAAAATTTTTGTCGACGACTTAACTTATCGTCTGGCCAGAGACCGAGAATCTTCAAAGAAACCCGATTTATTCCGATCGCCCAATCTAAGTCTATTTAATTACCATGCTGTTATTGATGATGAAATCGAGATATGGATTATAATCTTAGTAACATCGTGGAAATCAATCTTACAAGGGATCTGTCACAAATATCACTGTTCAAAATATAAAAAATAATGACATAAAATAATATAAAAGAATACGAATGTTTCAGATTTTTGTGTTTAATAATATATTTCGAGAATCGAGTTTTGTTTCGGACAGTTGTGACAGGTTCTTTGTTAGTAACATCGCGTAGCTGAAGTTAATTAAAAATCAAATTATACTTGTAATGGGTTTAAGAGTTGTCGGAATAATTAATTAAGCTAAACCACAATGAAATAAAATTCGTGAAGTTTTGCGGTAAATTTTTCCAGATAGACAGCGAAGTTTCGTATGAAAATTGTTTTCGCGTCGTTCAATCTTTAAACAAAATTTGCCGTCTATTCTATTGTAATATTGGCAAGAAAACAGTATCTTGAATTACCAACAATAGTTCACTGTAAAGTTTCGCGAATTCATACGTTTTAATAAAAATATATAGCTTATAAATTTATATCAATGTACGTCACGATAAACGATTTATATGTTTACTGATATAAGGAAACTTAGCGATAACGATATGAAAATAAAATAGACACCTGCAGTGTATCCCAATTTAGAGCTGTCCATGTCCAAGGCTAAACGGAGACTGGTATTTTTTTTTATTAATTCAGCATACTCTCTTGCTTCACAGGGAGCATGGAAATTACGCATGCTCACGGAAAAAGTTCTGAAATGCATGTGTTAAGGTGCAAAGTACAGGCACTCTTAAATATTTCAGATATTAATGTCTGCCATATTTTTTTACGGGAGTGCAATTTCTCGTTCGAAGAAACGAATTCGTATGGCCCTCCTACGGCATCGCTAAATAGTCTATGAATATCTAAACAGGTGCAATGTCCCCCAATTTTCCTTACAGGTGCTCATTATAAATTTACCTTCTCGACTCTTTCTTTCGTTTGAAGACTTATTCTTTTTCAATAATTTATATTGTCTGAAGTATAATTTTCGTTGAATGAACTTCGAAATACAAAAAATTATCGCCACGTAATTTTACGAACGATGCATTAGATGATATGTGTTTGTATTTGTAGCAATGTGAAAAAGCCGAAAAACAGGAATACGAAGTAGAGTAATAATTACGAGAGTTAATAAAGTAAAATAAATGTACGTTAAGTAGAAAAATGCTGAGTAACAGTGCAATGAAAAATAAGACATAAATGTGTATACTTATATTATTAAGAGCCACAAAGTATTAATGTGTAATTGTGAAAGAGGTTGATTCATTAACAATATTGTTTAAAGTGCATTGTGCTACCAGTATGCATATTTAACTTTACAAGCTTGGATATTATCATTGAACTTACTTTGTTGCGTTTACTTATTCAGCTAGCATGTTAAAAGCCAGGCTCTAGCACTAAAAGTACTTTACATATCGAGCTACTTTTCATTGATAAAAAATTGTATGTATAATGGTGCATTTGGATGGAGCAATTGGATTCGGCTTCGGAGCGTTAAAATTCATAAGAATATGGTATATATAATAATATTATGGTCTAATCTCCGAATCAAACATTAAATTTTGTGTGCTATGTTTATTAAATATCTTGTCGGAATTATAATATATAATCTAAAAATTATATTAATTTAATATAAAATATTTAATATGAAATTTTTTTTCCAGTATATGCTTATGTGTTATAGCTAAAGTCTTAGATATTTTTAGCAAAATCGTTCTTGTCATGTTCTGTTACAAATCGGAGACGTTAAAATATGACTTATACCGGTTTAAATGAATATCACGATAGTAACATAACAAAAATAGCAAAAGGATATCGAGAATTTTTTATCTTCATGATCCAATTTATTATTCTCGTTAAGATCAAAATTACGTGAAAAGTCTGATGTAAAAGTAAATGTAATCAATGTTATCTAATTGTAAGACATACTAAGAACAAAAATAGAAGGACAATGAAAGAAATGAAAGGTTAAATAAATAGGACTGGATATTTTACTATTGATACAATAAACATTGATCTTTATTATACCTTCTTTCCGAATTTATATATAGTGATTATTTTAATTTTATTGCCTTTTACTATTAATTCACTTTGTCTCTTCAATATTGTATGGTCGCTTTTTTCGATTTGAATTTTAGAAAAGAAACTATATAATAATGCAAAAAATAAACGTTGCGTCTCAAAGTTTCACGGACGGTGCATCGATAATGATGCATTGTTATAGCAACGTGAAAAAGACAACGAATAACAAAACGAAGTACGGGGATATTGAGAGAATTAAATGAGACAAGCATTTCAGTTTATGGACAGCGTTCCTCAGTGAAATGTGCAGTTGAAATATTACAGTGAAATAGAAACAACGTACTATAAAGTATAACAATTTTGTACCTATTTTAATATAATATACATTTAATAAATTTTAAATTTGTAAATTAATAAGTTAGTAAATTTTTTTTATTGTAATTATTAATCAGTTTCTAATAAATGTTTTGAAAATACTTTATTTAAACTAGTAAAAATTTTGAAATAAATTATGATATGCCTATTTCTTAAACATAATAAATAAAAGTTATAAGTTTACATTCTTTGTTGACTTGCAGAAGTGTATGTCTGTATGTGTTTGTGTATAGAAAACAAACGTTTTATTAATTTGTTTCTTCAAGAACTTTTGTTATTAATTTTTTTTTAATTCTGCATTTAAATACATTGTATTTTATATTATATTGTATTTTGTATATATAATTATAATACGTTTTATAACAATGGTGTAATATTTTTTAATAAAAATAATAGAAACTTGGTGTTTTATTTTATTATTTAAAATAATTTATTTGTACTTTATCCAGAACATAAGTACGCTCTGAATAAATTGCAAATAAAAAAATTTAATTGACAAGAAATCTTATTTTGATCGAATTAATAAGATACCCGTCCTGGAAAGTCTGAGTTCCAAGTTGAAATCTTAGCTGAGATAAATTTTTTGCAATGTTTTATGCTTATTAGCATATTTCAAAACACTGCATAAAAATGCTTATCAGCATCATAAAATGACGATCAATGTAATTTGTCATTACATTTTCAGCTTTAGTTTGTGATTATGTTTTCAAGTTCAACAAATCAAATTTGGGACTGAAAAATGTAAATCTACATATGTGAATTATTATTAAGCACCAAAATCCGCTTCGACTGAAAATTAGGATTCTTTATCTTATTTGAAAATAATGTTACCAATTAAAAATCATCAAAACGTAATTTTATAAAAATAAGACATTACTGTTGTCGTTTTTATAAAAAGTAATACATTATCATTATCGTTACTAATTTTACTCTTTATTATTCGTTGCTAGTTTTAAAAAGCAACTTGTTATCGTTATCGTTAGAATTAGGAAGTAACCACAATAGCATCTAGTAACCATTACATGTCGTAACTACTACATCTGGTAACTACTAGCAATCAATCAATGGCAAAATGCAACATAGATATGATCAGAATATGTATTTGGCATGACTGATTAATGTGATTTACTTAAGCATGAATTATAATCCACACAGTTCTCTGAGTGATGCTTATAGGATGTCCTAGAATATCCTAGGGGCGTTCTCTGAACGTCTTTAGAACATCTCTTGGAAAATCGTGTCATATAGAACATTAAAATATTTAAAATATCTACCTATAATAAAACCTAAAAATAACAAAAAATATGTAGGCATTCTTTCATACACACACACACATATATATGTGTATATATATATATATATATGTGTGTGTGTGTGTGTGTGTGTGTGTGTGTATATGTATGTATGTGTGTGTGTGTGTGTGTGTGTATATAATAGACTCGTTTTGTATGCATTGCAAACTATATATTTTTTCTAACTTTCATTATGAGTTAATTTACTTTAATTATGTCATTTGGGAAAAAATATTATATGTGTATACATATAGGACATATTTTATATATAATTATATATAATCATATGTGAAACAATTTTTTCCCGGGCACACATACAGAGAGTTAAATAAAAACTTAGTAGATATTTCTATATATAAACTTAAAAGATTTTTTATTAAAGAGCTTTATATTTAAGTTTTTTTAACAAATTTTGATAATGTCGACAGTTACTTTCACTATGGTGTAAAGAGAATAGATACAAAAAAGAGAGAACTAATTAATATTACGAAAAGAGGCAATAATTAATAAGCTCTTACATATCTTTCTTATGTTACGGATGAAATATTAAATTTCGCGCGTTTCTCATCAATAATACTCGATGCATTATTAACAATACTCGCAGCGTACTTCGTGTTTCCCTCCTACATTTGTTTCTATTCCTACACGAATGACGGATCATGACGTAAGATTTTATATCATGGTATGGATAACAGCTGATTCCACCATGAGCTGATCCCAGATCCAAACCATTTAAATACTCCAAACGCTTGTATTCTTTTTACGTCAATGGTGCGGGAACGATGAATGGTCGTGACCGATCGAGATACCAACATCGATACCGGGACCGGGCAGCACCTGGTGGAAGGACGCCGTCGTTCCCGTTTTTACGTGACACGTGGAGGTATCCGAAAACCCATATCAATTAGATGACGGCACGACGCCGTGGGCTGGCAGGTCATGGGAGCCTGTCTCGGCCGCTGTTTAACGAAAGTCACAGATTCCGTGCCGTACAGGTTAGAAGTGAGCCAAATCTGATTGAAATCCAGGCAGTCAGCTGCCAGAGTATCTGACAGAAAATTGTTGCATATTGAATATTTAAAAGATTGTTCTTAAGAGCACAGTTAAATAGAGGACTACATCCATGATTTAATATTTTAGTTATATGACTCGTTAGTTGCACTAATATATAACTATGTTATGAATAATTCAAGTTATGAAAGCTGTATTGAATCCTATGCTCTGATAAATTTTTTTACTAGGAAGACCTTCAACTGAGAATCTTCCTAGTATATTAGACAAAAGAACTTATCATGTTTTGCTATTTCATTGCCTTATTCTGTATTCAGGTTCTATCGAAGGCATACCAGAATGTCATTCCAAGAAGAAGAACAAGTTGAGGTATGTATCCAAGAGTTTAGAAAATGTGTTTTTGCTTATGCTTTCACTAGTAGAAATAACATTGCTGTTTTATATTTAGTTCATGGATGTCGAAGGGCATGAAGACCAAACTAAAGGATCAAATAGGTATAAAAGTCAGTTTGTAACTTTTAATTCTAATTTGGATTTGTGATATTAATATTACGTTTATCTGTCATGCTTACTGGATGTGTAGTCTCTTATCGTTCCTCTCTTTAAAAAGATTCAAGGTAAAAAAATATCTTATAATGTATATCTTATGTATCATTTAGTATACGAAGATAAGAATGTTACAGAATATGTGGAAGCTGTTACTTTTATTGTACAAAAACTACAAGAAGTATCTTAACTTGAATTATGCAATTTTACATGTATTTGAATTATAGAAAAAACATGGAGTTCCAGTAACTTTGGAATTATTGGAAGATGGAAGATGGTCACGGGGTGGTAATAAGTATGCCAGATTGAGTTCTAGAAACGATGTTTCTACAAGGTAAATTACATTATTAACTCCAATAACATTCTTGAAATTGGCGTGTGTGTGTGTGTGTGTGTGTGTGTGTGTGTGTGTGTGTGTGTGTGTGTGTGTGTGTGTGTGTGTGTGTGTGAAAGACTAAAAGATCATACACTTATTTTTAGTTCTGGTCTGAATGTGTCCCTTCAAGTTCTTGATGCAAGAACATTAATGAAACAACAGGCTTATATGTCATCCACTCCGGGATCATCACTAGATCTTGAGTGGGAACACGAAGGTAATCTATCATTATTATCACATTTTTATAAATCTTACAATACATAAACAAATTATACTTTTGCAGGGATGCCACTACCAATCACGGATGATGGACAAGGAGACACAGAGTATTCTCTTACACAGACATCAGCTAATAATAGCCGAGCCTCCAGTCTGACAGCATCTCCTTGGTCTAGAGTCTCGAGTCCAAATAGTTTAGAATGGGATCCAGTGGAACAAAATATGGTATGTGTCGATATAGAGACTGAACAACTTTTAACTGAGATAGAGAGATTGACAGATAGAGCTCTAAAAGAGACTGGTGAATGGACTGACGCTAATACTAGCTGATAAACGAATTAATTAACGAAATATTATTTGTATTTTTGTATTATAAAAAATCATGGTAGAGCTAAAACAGACGCTCTAAGAGATCACATTATTTCGATATTGCTATTCTTGAAACAATATAACTGATTATATCGTTTCAAAAATGTGTATTGTACAACTTATAATTAGGATACGTTGGATATAGAGATATGATGCAGATATCTACGTTGTGTAGAGTATCTTGTATAATAATCTCTAGTACAGAAAGGAATTATGTCAAGCTACCAAATCAAGAAAAATCATTTGCAGTATATGCATTTGTACACAACAATTGTATATGTAAATACTACATTTTTTTTTTAATTTTTAAATAAGCCTATCTGCTTGCTTAAATGGGAAATTGAACTTTAGCAACATAAATACAAAGCTTTAGTTTCGCTTTTGCCTCGCGTAGCTTCCGTATGACAATAAATTATTTTTTACAAAATAAAATCATGTGCCATACTTTACTTCAATATTTCAAATTTTTACTACATATGTGCACTCAAATGACTTGTTTTGACATGAAGTAGTACATATTGAAATAAATTGTTCACAAATAATGCAAATACAAGAAATATACATAAGAGATTCTATTACATATTATTTTTTATGCAATTTTTAAGCTATTGGCATTAATCTAAATATGAGAAATAAATGCAATATTATAATAAAGAGATAAGTGCACAACATCAATAGATAGTGAAATTTAGAAAGATAGCAAATGTACAAAGAAGAAAGTTTCGGATAGGAATTATTTTATTGTAATGAAAAGTATGTAAAGATGAAATTGTTATTGTAAATGATGACTGTAGAATGCCTTAATATAGATAATAAAAGATTGTGAAGTTTGCTATAGTTTATGACTGTGTTACTTATATTTCATTTTATATCATTTTAATATATTTCTATTATGTCGTTATATATAATCCAAATATGCCTCACACAAGTTTAAGAAATCTTTTTTAATACTTAGATGTTAGAAATAAGTATTCACGAAAAAAATATATCATATCAATTAAAATCATAAAGAGACATAGTTCGATGAATGAATATATAAAAGCGAATGTGAAATTGCGGAACATCACGCTAGACTGGTGTGTAATAAATGTTAAGAAGTAATATGTTTATATATATATATATATATA